CGTGCATAGAAAAACGGCCGTTAAAGATAGGTGGTCGCTAACACCAGAGGTCGCTTCCAGCAGGTTTTACTTTATCTGATATACACACTATGTAATATGATGTGAATGAACTACTACCCATCTTCTCCTGTTGGTTGATAGCATGTAAAGAAGGTGGAGACCACCGTGTTGGGAAACAGTGACCTTACTACAACCATCCACGGTTGGTGCAACCCTGGTCTTTACAACCATCTGCACCGTATGAGTGTTAGACTCGGGTCTGACACTGCTTGTTCTAAGGGTGGTCTTAGTTTTCTTCTTGTTCTACCGTCAGTCATGTATTCGTTGTTCGGTCCTGGATGTATTCTTGATACTCAGTCCTCATACAATTTGTAGCTTCTGATCTGAATTGTTCTTCTTACTTCTCTTTTTATACTCATTTTCCAACTCCTGGCCCCATGACGTCACTCTCTCAGCTCATCATCAGACAACAGTTACTGTCAGTGTCACCTCCATGTCACTGTCGTTTGCACGTGACACTGCTGCTCTGGCAATCTCTGACAGCTCCCTGGATCAGCTTGTTACAAACTAAGAAAGTGTTGCAGGCTGGCATCAACACAAGCGTCTTAGGTATACAGGCGTACAAGCCACATAAAAGCAACATTCCACTCATTCATCTCGAGAACGCTATGGTGTACTGCAGGCCAATTCGACATCTAGACAACGACACGAAATTAAGAAAGATTGCAACCACGACCAAACAAACATCTACCAAGGATGAATAATAGAAGGGAGGAGATTGACGAGAAACATCAAGAGACTATCCGATGGAGATTGGGGGAGAGAGAGATAGAGAAGGAGAGAGAGAGAGAGAGAGAGAGAGAGAGAGAGAGAGAGAGAGAGCAAGCGCGTCTGTGCGTATTTTGACGCGAGCAAGTGGCAACGGTCACGCCTCCAGCTACTAACGTTAGTGTAACGAAATCAGAAGCCACAACACATTGTCTTCAGTAAGTAAGGACAACAGCACAGTCATAGCACAGTCATGTATTTGTACACATCTCAACTCTTACACTGCAGCTCATGGTAAACTGACATAACTTACACTATAACATGGTGTATGTATATTGTACACTTGTCATAGCAAGGCTGTCTGTATACTGCACTCTCGTCATAGCAAGGCAGTGCTTAGCAGGCGTGGTAGCCGTGCATATCGTATGCGTACACAGCAAGGCAGGCCATGAGCAAGGCAGGCCATTAGCAAGGCAGGCCATTAGCAACAGACCATACGGCACGTATACGGACGTGCACAGATACGGAATAGCCGAGGATGGGCCGGCAACATGGACGATGAGATGATGTCAGCAAGGTGAACTGATGATAGTGAACTCACTCATGACGTCATGATCTCATACTCCCATAGCAGTGATTCATCAACACGACAACAGTCCACTCCAGGCAGTCACGACCAGCACACACACGAATGCGTAGTGAACCATGCAGCACGGTACACGGGTACACTGAATGCTCGACGTCTGTGTCTGTTTTGTGCTGGTTTTGGTACTGCACATCTGCACTGCATCGCGTGCAAGTGTGCACCACAGCACGTGGCGACATGTGTAGCTACATCGTAACTTGTGGTGGACGTACTGTGCGCATCTATTACTTTACTATCCAATGCAGCATAGGTCTACCAGGCAGCACTGTACAGATACACTATCCAATACAGCATAGATCTACTGGGCAGCACGGTACAGATAGCATAGATCTACTGGGCAGCACGGTACAGATAGCATAGATCTACTAGTACTGGGCAGCACGGTACAGATAGCATAGATCTACTAGTACTGGGCAGCACGGTACAGATAGCATAGATCTACTGGGCAGCACGGTACAGATAGCATAGATCTACAAGTACTGGGCAGCACGGTACAGATAGCATAGATCTACTAGTACTGGGCAGCACGGTACAGATAGCATAGATCTACTCGTAGCCAGTACCAGGAGAGAGAGACAGTACAGCACAGATCTGATATCGTTAGGAGTCTGGCTGTTTGTCTTTTGTCAGTACATAGAAAGTACACAGAACACTGGGAAAGTGCGAAATAATTTGGGACCCTAAACTAGATGAATACCCAGATCCAGTGCTGATATCGTTAGGAGTCTGGCTGTTTGTCTTTTGTCAACTTGGACAATTCAAATTGATGATCAACTAGATCGGTCAACGCAGTTTTCACCTCATCGCCGAGCACTTCACCAGCCTGCACCAGGTCTCGCAGCTGCTGCGCTGCAGCTGTGTTCTGCGTTTCCAAACTTTCCAGCGTCTCACTCTGGATCTCCACCGTGCTCTGAGCACTGGGCAATGCCTGGATCAGGAAATCCACGTCACGCGCCGTCTGCGAGATTAGCTTGGAGAACATCTCTGCAACCTCTTTGCGCTTGGCTTCCGCCTCGGGCCCGACCTCTGCCTGGGTGCTCAGCACGCCCACACTGTTGCAGAAGTGTTCCGCCAGAACATTGACCGAGTCCTGTAGCTGCGTTATGCGATCGGCCATTGCAGCTCACGTCCAGGGCCGGGAGCCGTATGGTCACCGGTCACATGTACTACTCAACAAGAACAGCTTGCAAACAGAACTGATCCAAATGCAAGGAATAGTCTTCTCTTTGCTGTTAGGGTTTTCGTAGAATGGCAATCACCAGATCTCAGAGTGATTCGATTATGAATAAAATTTTATGTTCTTCCTGACATTCAAAACTTTTATTTCTTTTTCAAAAAATTCGGCTGCATCGTCTCATGAGCTCATGGGTTGCGTCATTTTGACGTCATGAAATGAAACATAGGCACATGTGACACAGCCACATAGGCTATGCCAGCCGGATTTTGCTAGCATCCAGGACCAGATTCCAGACTCATTCACATCATGTGTGTGTTGCAGAGAGTCCTAAAATACGGTCTCTGAGTCTTAGGATCCCCTGGCCTGGTGTATTGTCTTTCAATGCTATTTTGCCCTGACCATGTGACTTCACAATCATCAGTCAGTCACAACAAAAAGTCATGATAAGTCACACACCCAGACACCTCCGCGCGGATCCGGTACCGTGTACAACTGGTCAAGCCAGGGCACCGTGAATCCGGGCGTGATAGGAGGGGGGGGGGGGGGGGGGGGGGTGCCACCATCACCATGATCACCTGAGGCCAAAGTTTTAGACGGTGCAAGCAGGGAGTACGGTCCGGCGGATTCTGGCCGCAGAAAAATTGGCAGAATTCGGTACTTTTTCTGGTGAGTTTCACTGATCCATGTTTGGTATGTGGATAAAGAAATGGAGCAGGATTCGAGGAATTGCCCGCCATAAGGTTTGTATGGTTCTGCCAATTTCACTGCTTTTCGAGCAGAATCCGCCGGTCCCTAGCAGGGAGTAGTAGTAGTAGTACGGCTGAGCGGTGTTTGGTTCCATCCGGCCAGGGCTGAGCCATGTTTGGTTCCAACCAGCCAGGCCAGGGTGGTGAGCAGCACAATCGTACAGGTATAATAAGGTATGCGGCAATCAAGCCGTGACGCTCAGGATTTCGTGATGGCTGAATCGTGCCCGAGCCTTCAGCCCAATGGCCGTAGGCCAAAGGGCTGCAGGCAAGGGCAAGATTCAGCCATCACTGATGACCTCCTGAGCGTGCTTGATTTTGATTTCTTACAGCACGAAGCAACATGTATTAGGGAAGGTCAACGGTCGGGTTATTCCCGAAATGATGTCAAACGGTCCTGATCATGCATGCCTGCGACGGGAAGACCGCCTATTGGCCATAGCACTGGCAACGATCACGTGTCATGTAAGAATATGGTATTGTACTACCCCCTGGTCCCACTTCCACTAAAACATTTCAACGCCTGCTACTGTACCAGCCCGCCATCTGTGAGTCACATGCGGCCGGCCATGTTGGTTCTGCTATGCACATGCCAATGATGAATAATTGATGATCACTTTCTGCACAAATTTAGTCACGTGACAACATACATGCATGTGAAAGCAGCTCATGGTAAAGTTGCACGCTGCTCGGGGTTAAAACTTGGTATTAGCCCAGCATTCAGACTCTCAGTCATTGCCGGCACACAACATTACACCATCGTTGAATTCCAATAATTTATCAATACCAGTATGTCAGAAATGTATTTTGGCATTCCGCCCATCAGTACCATGCCCTACAACGCACGATACACGATACACAAAACACGTCCAAATACCACAATCATAAAACACGTACAAATACAGAAATACTACAATAATAATTCAAACATGCGCACAAACACTTCAGCACTTTCAATACACATTACAAAAAGAATACAACTTGATGTCCATAGTGCTGTGCTCCGCAGCTATATGTAAATGCTGGCATTGGCACTTGAACTGAATGAGCCACCCGACAATAATAATATGCATACTAGTACATCAGCCCCGGCAGAACTGGCGCAAATAATACAATGTGTGTGTGCGTGCACGTACGCGTGCGTACATGCGCATGTGTGTGTGTGTGTGTGTCGACATGTACATGTACGTCTATGCAAACTGAAAATGAGGAGAACGATGGCGCGCCATAACTGCGTGGCTTAATGCTCAGCTCTGCAATAGGAAGAGTCTGATTCACGGTCAGCGAGAGGAACGATCAGGTAAAGCAGAGGTTGAAAGACGAACAAGCAGATGATTATGTAGACGAGAGAGAGAGAGGGAGAGAGAGAGAGAGAGAGAGAGAGAGAGAGAGAGAGAGAGAGAGATAGAGAGACAGAGAGAGAGAGAGAGAGAGGAAAAAGAACAAGAAAGGGAGAGAGAAAGCTAGGGATAATGTCGAAGTCCGGACAGATTTGGAACTGGAGCTACATGTACGCTGAACATGGCTCGTTACGTACACGAATAGAAAGAAGCGAAGACGAGACAGTCGGGCAGACAGCTAGAGAGAAGGATAGGCACAACTTAGAGATATGATTGTTGCCAGTATGTGCCGGGGTGTTTTCATTCAAATACATAGTGATAAAGAGAGTGACAGGGATACAGGGTGTGATTGGGTGGGGGTTGGGGGGCGGGGCATGGGGGGGGGGAGAGAGCAGGGGGGGGGGGGGGGGCAGCACAATGGCAACGATTCTTGAGGGCTAGTGCAGATTGCTGGGAATCGGAAACCATGGTCTATAGGTAGATGTAGAGCAGTTGTTTGGATTTGATGGTTCCGTAGACCGTGGTGATCAGAAACACTCAGTTCACTCAAAGAGGTGAGAAAGAGGTGAGTTACTTTGGCTCATTTCCTCTTTGGCAGTGCAGCATACGGGTTTCCAGACTGTTGGCTGTTGTTCGCGCAGCGCTCAGTATCTGCTCGTGCCGACGGCTGCTTGGTTTTACGTACCGACATATTAGGTGCCGAGTAGACGTCCTGTGAATCCATTTGAGCATGTTGCTGCTCTCCATCGTACTGGCTATTGCTTACCAGCGCCTGTGGTGTTGAGTAGACATCTTGAGCATCCATTGGAACGCGTTGCTGTTCCACATAGTCTGGTACATTGCCGAGCAGAGCCTGCGGTGTAGAGTAGAGCTCCTGCAAGGCCTTGCTGCTACTCATCTGCTTCTTCTTCTTCTTTGTATTGACATTAATCATGCTGCTGGACGTCATCAGCTCCTTCTGCTGATGCTTCCGGCTGGTGGCAAGAGGCGATGCGTACATATTATCCCCTCCCGCCTGCTCGGCCTTGGGATTGTTGCGGGTGGGCAACGAGGGGGAGTCCCCTGGCCGCAAGGGGGATTCCCCCTTCCTCGGAGCTGAGGCGCCAAGGGTGGAGTAGAGATCCTGTGATGTTTCCACGACAGTCTTGTTGTTCTTGATGCTGTCCGTGCTACGTGGGACAATCCCGGCACCCGTCTGCCTCCTTGCAACAGGTGATGAATACATGTCTGCTGAGGGATGGTCAAGTCCTGGCGTGTGCCTGCCCGACGTAGCTGAAGCCACGTGAGGATTGGGAGTGGACGACGTGTGAAGCGTTGAGTATAGATCTTCTGAGATTTCATCGCTAATCTGTTTCATGTTGTCTAGCGCTAAGCTACTACTCGGCTTCAGCCCTTCTTTCTGATTCCCTCCTGCAGCAAGTGACGAGTACATGTTCTCAGAGGGATGGTCAAGATCTGGATTGTTTCGACCCGACGTCCCTGAAGCCACTTGAGGTTCGGGAGTGGACGATGTGTGAAGCGTTGAGTACAGATCCTCTGAGATTTCATCGCTAATCTGTTTCATGTTGTCTAGCGCCATGCTCGTACTCGGCTTCAGCTCTTCCTTCTGATTCCGCTGATCCAGAGGAGATGCATATACCTCATTTGCTGCCTGGTCAAACTGGGAACTGCTTTGGCCCGACAGTGGTAGAGATGCTTCAGGATTAGCAGCTGTCTGATTAGGCGTTGAGTACAAATCCTGCAAGACGTCGTCAGCAATACGGGTCGTACTATTACTACTTGATATCAAACCGTTGTTCCGATTCCTGTTGTCTAGAGGTGCCGCATACACGCCGTCAATGGTCTCATCGCTCATCAGACAGCTTTGTTTGGCGGGCGGCGTCTGCAACATAGCGTACATAGTCTCGCCAGGTTTTGGACTACTCCGGCCTGACGGAGTGCGCGGCAAGGCGTACGTATCCTGCACGTCGCTGTCGAACATCGGACGACTGGCTCCGCCGCCACCGCTGCTACTGCTCCCGTCGCCATGGTTACCTGTGATGCACTGCAAGAGACTTGGAGCCTGCGAGGACTGGGCGCCAGCCAGCGCTTCGGGCGTTCTCGCCTGCTTCACGACGGAGACAGGATTACTCTTTCTGCTGCTAAGCTTCTTCACGGACTGGTATTGATCGTGAGAAGCATCCGACGCTAGTCTCGCCGCCCTTGGTGAATCTAACTCAGCTTGCAGTTTGTGGTCATTTGTACCTGTGCCAGTTTTGCCATTCAAGCTGGGACTATCCAGCTTTCTGTCACTGGTTTGTGCAGACTGTGGATTCACATGGCTTGACTTGTGCTGTTCAGCTGCACCTGCCGCAGGATGTGCAGTCAAATGTGGCCCACTGCCGTTGGTAGCCATTAGCTTGGGGGCAATGTGGCTCTGTGAAGCAGGGCCAGCAGCTGGCACCAGCGCAGGCAGCTGTGCGTAATCTGCGCCGTTGAATGCTGTTTGTGCGGTGGCTTGGTCGTACAGGTCCTCATCCGCTGCCCCGCCGAGGGTGCTTGGCGCCGTGCTGTTGGGCTGTGCGGCTGGCGAGGTGTTGAGGTGGTCGTACACGTCTACACCTTTGCTGCCATGGAGCATGTCCTCTGCTGGTCCTCTTAAGCGCGCCAAGTCCTGGTAGGTGGTGTGCGTCGAGTGGTCCGAGTCGACGGTGTTGATCGGTGCATAACTAGCACATGTACTGTCGTCCGGGGACGTCCCCAATGTGAGCATGGCCTCCTCGTAGCTTTTCGCAAGCGACAGTGCCTGCGGCATGTTTACTTCGTATCCTTCATCTTGTGCCTGTAGGTATGTGCCCGTGGATGATTGTGCATGCAGCATTGACGACATGCTCGCCTGGTTGGTCAGCTTGTTGTGATCGCGGTGCGCGAGGCGCAGCAATTGCGTCGCCTTGTGCTGCTCGGTCACGTCATCTAAGGCATTGTACCGTGCACTGTCTGGGTGGTGCGGGTTCTCACCGTGGCTACTACTACCACCACCACCACCACCGCCACCACCACCACCACCACCTCCAGCACAACCCTCGTTGGTGTTGAGCAGCTCGTACGTGCTACCCTTCGTCAGGCTGATGATGCTGGGCCGTGACTTCCTACTGGCGGCCTTACCCTCGGCCTCGTCGGATACGGTGTCTGCGTTTGTGTCAGTCAGACGTATGTTACTGGCTGCATGACAACAATAACAACAACACAGGAGAGCAGGGAAGGAAAGGCACATGTTAAATCAGGCAGTGGCAAGACGAAAGAGAGACGTCGACGACAACAACAACACTCTTCATTAGCATCGTTACTATTTTAGCTAGTGCAGAAGCGATTACCTTTTTTTCCTTAGTGCCTTAGCTGATACCATAACGATCGGCTTATCGGCTAAACGATTATGATACTAACTACATGTACATTCCGTGAATTTCCAAAAAATTACGAGTCCAACATCCCCAACGACGAAAAGCGGGCGCATAGATCCGATGATCCCGCAACAAGTCCGTCAGCTGTGCGGACTGACCAGACGAATACAGACAAGACAGAGGCAACTCACTGGTTGCAACCCAAGAGCTGATGGTGCCCTTCGCCTGTGACTTCGCTGACTCCGACGATGAAGTCAGAGAAGCCGGCCAGGGGTGCAGATCGGCGGATTTCGACGGATGAGCTGCTTTGAGGCGCACCAACAAGTAACTAGTTGCATTTCCTGTCTATGCTCAAAATAGGCTCAGACGCCAGGCCTAGCTCGTCGTCGAGCAAACTGGTTCGGGAACCGTCGACAGAACGGAAAACATGAAACTGAAGACCATTTTACTGTCTTTAGCTCAAGACTACCCGCACGTGGAGGGAACTCCAGCCCCTGCAGCTTGTGTAGCCACATACTGAGCCTGCCCGTCCTGCATGCTGTATGTAAGAAAAGTAGTCAGCTGAAAAGACGGCGACGTAACGGTGATCGCGTCGATGTTTCTCAGATCGCGCTTGTACTTAAAGGGGAAGTTAAGGCAAAAATCAAAATTTCACCAGTTGTAGTCTTCGGGGTGCTAGTCGAATGGTCTTGGGCCGAGAAAGCTGAGACGCTTCCTTCCTACTTGAATCCCAATCGAACTCGCGCACTTCCACCGAAACTGGGTGACTGGTCCTGCTAGATGGGGATTTGTATGCAAAATGTCACTAAAAGTGCCATTTCGTTCTTATAAAAGCACGGATGACCGCGATTGGCCAATATGTTGTACATGTTGTCCTGAAGACTGAACTGCTGTTACATACTAGAGAGACCGAATATAAGGTAAATAGGTGCGAGGTACATATTGTGACATAACTAACACCAGGGTACTAAAGGTGACACCTACATAGTATCTACTACCACATTACTCCAATGCTTTAGTAAAAAGCTAGCAACCGAATGAAATGGGCAACGCAATATATTAATAAAACAACCGAGTAAATCAATTTCGAATGATCATATATCTTGCTGAATCGAATGATTAACCCAACACTTTAGCAACAAGAAGTTGAAAAGAATGATCAACCCAAACACTCTAGCAACGAGAGGATATTACTGCTGTCTATTCTTGCTCATAACTTTGATAGAATGAATGCTGCTATTGTCACTACTCCGGCTACTAAGGATGCCATGCTATTATAGTAAAATTGTTTCAATCGTATCCCAGCCGCTCCACAGGCATGCTCACTCTGCTAGAACGTCGAGGCAGCTGTGGCTGGTTGTTGTCGGCTCGGGCTTCTTCTTCCGTTGTGCCTGCAGCATCTTTGTCAGACCCAGGGCTACGGCTCCGCTCGGTGGTCGCCTCAGTTGCTGATGGTGGGATAGTCTCCCTGACTTGCCGGCGGTTTCTTATGGCCGTGCGCACACCGTCTTCCACCACCACTTGACGGCCTTCCTGTCGTACGACACACCATTCCTTGGCCGGTTGACTATATCCGTCTTGCAGTACCACTTTACTGCCTGGCTCGAGAGCAGGGAGCTCCCGCACGCCTCTCTTCTGATCGTGTTGATGGGCCATTCGCATTTTTTGGTCAATTTGCTTCTCCCGGTTGATGATTTGACCGTTAGCTAGATTCGGCAATCGTCCTCGAAGGGCCCGTCCAAAGAATGCTTCTCCTGGTGATGTCCCAATCATCCGATTCACGGATGTACGAATGCCGAATAGCGCTTGCTGGAGTCGCTGTCTCAGAGGTGTGATGAAGGCATCCCACTCAAGCGCCTGCGCACGACGCCATGGAATCTCTCCACCATTCCGTTGGAGCATGGATACCGCGGGCTCGACTTGATATGCTTGACTCCTGCTTTCCGGAGAAAAGTTTCTGTTTCGTCCGACACCAGCTGTGGCCCATTGTCGCTAACTAGCTCCACCGGTAGACCATGTCTTGCGAATACTTCCGACAATGCTTGTATTATGACTCTCGACGTGGTGCTGGATAGCAAGAGCAACTCGGGATATCGGGATCCGTAGTCGATGACCGACAAGAAGTGATGATCCTCGATCTTCACGAGGTCCACCGCCACCCGATACCAGACTGGTAGGATTTCTGACGGTTGGAGGGGTTGTGGAGGATTCCGCTGCCTCTTCCAGCATGTCGAGCATGTCCTAGCGAATTCTGAGGCATCTTTGCTCATGGACGGCCACCATACACTTTGCCGCAACGTGTCCAGAAACGTGTCGAGTCCTGGATGGCCTTCGTGTGCGATATGGAGGACTTGGTCATACAAGGTACCGGGTATGACGATGCGATTGTTATGCATGACGATGTCATCAACCACTGACAACGAGTCCCTAATTCGAAAGTATACCTCGTCGCTGCCGTCGCATGTATTCCACTTGCCTTGTAACACTCTGTTCCTGACTCGACTTAGCTGACCATCAGTGTCTGTGGCTAGCCAGACATCTTCGCAAGAGATTGGAGCTTCCCCCAGGATTAAGGCAACATACTCCTTCATTGACCTGGCCTCTGCCGGACTGGCTTCAACTGCTTGGGAGGGGGCTCTCGATAGCGCGTCAGTACAAATCATTGACGTTCCTGGCGTATAGGTCAACTGAAAGTCGTATGGGAGGATTGCCAGCAGCCATCGCTGCACTCGGGCTGGCACCTGATCGAATTCCTTCTTTACGATTGCCACCAGAGGCTTGTGGTCAGTGAATACGATCACTTGTCGCCCCAGTACGAATTGGCGGAATTTTACCAAGCCGAAAACCACAGCCAGCATCTCTCTCTCGAGCTGCGAATACCGTGTCTCGGGATCCTTGAGAGCTCTGCTAGCGCATGACACGGGTTGAAAGCGGCCATGATTGTCCTTCTGCCACAGTATAGCTCCCAGGCCACATGGAGATGCATCCACACTAATGGCCGTCTCCCTGGTTGGCGTGACGTCGAAGAACGACAGACGTAACAATCTAGACGCGGCCTCCTCTTTGAGTGTGTTGAACTCCATCCAGAGCGAGTTGTCTGCGACGAATGGCTCGCGTTTTGCCAATGTCCTGACCGGTGCCGTTGCGTCCGCTAATCCAGGGATGAATTTTCCGAGGTATGTTAGCATACCAAGGAATCGCCGTACATCCGACTGAGATTCTGGCAGAGGCATGTCTAGGATTGCCTTCACTTTGTCTGGATCAGGATTGACGCCCTGGGCGTTCAGTATGCTGCCAAGGTATCTAACCTCACTTTGCTTCCACTGACATTTGTCGTTGTTCAATTTCAGCTGTGCCGCTTGTAGTCGCTCTAGGACTCGCTGCAGTCGTTCATCGTGTTGCTTGATGCTGTCTCCGGTGACCAGTACATTGTCTACGTACACGAAGACTCCTGGGATACCAGCGAGCAGGTCAGACATGACCCTTTGGAAGATTTCCGGGGCGCATGAGATGCCGAAGGGTAACCGCTTGAATCGGAACAAACCTTCCTCCGTCGTGAAAGTTGTGTACGGCTGTGAGCTGGATGACAGCGGGATTTGGTGGAATCCAGACTCTGCGTCCAAGACCGAGAAAATTGTTGCACCGTGGATTTGGGCTGTTATTTCCTCAGCGGTAGGCATGGCTCTCTTCTCCCGAATGATGTTTTGGTTCAACTTCCTGTAATCTATACACAAGCGAAGCTTGCCGTTAGATTTGCGGCTAGGAACTATCGGTGAGATCCATGGAGTCGCCTCTTTCACTGGTTTGATAATTCCAGCCTCCAACATTCGACTTAGTTCTGCCTTGACCTCCTCGCGGATGCTGAAAGCATGTCGTCGGCAGGCAGACGCCGCAGGCACGGCGTTTGGGTCCACGGCGATGTCTACCGGCCGCATAGTCACTGTGTTGATGTCGGCAATGTCTACCGGCGGCATAGTCACTGTGTTGATGTCTGGCTCATCAACGGTGACAGTGACCAATTGTAACTGCTGAATGACGTCCTGTCCGAAGAGGGGACATTTCCCGGGTGCGACCACAAAGCACCGACAAGCTATCGATCTGCCATTTGCTTCAAACGTTGCGGTCGCCGTACCTAGTGTGTGGACTTCCTGGCCACCGTATCCACGGAGTCGTCTGTCCGGTAATTCCTCTGGCTGGACGACCGTGCAGGGCATTATTGTCCGTGTGGCACCCGTGTCTAACAGACCGTGTACTATCTTACCATCAACCCGCACATCGACCCAATAGCGGGGATCATGAGCTGCGCGTAGCGTTGCCGCAGGCTCCATGGTATAAGCCTCTTCGAATTCGTCTTCGACCACCAATGTATCTTCCTCTATTTTATTGCTGAGTCTGTCTTTCCGGAGGCAGACCTGAGGAAAGTGGCCCACTATCCCACAGTGCCGGCATCTAGTCCGGCCTGCCGGGCAAAAGGATCTTCCCGGGGTATGTTCTCTCCCACAATACTTGCACGCTCCTTTCCACCTTTTATGTCGAGGAGGTTGTGCCGAGGCTCCTGCCACTTTCCTGGACTCCTCTCCTGACATGACTCTGTTTACCATTGGTGTCGATGATGATGATAGCGGCTGCGGAGTCGGCGCTACTGGCTGCTCGTACAGTAGCGAGTCCAGTATAGATGCTTCCATTCCTACTGCCTTTGCCGATGCCGCAGTTAGCGTCAGATCTGCGGTCGCTAGGAGTTCTCGTCTTATAGCTGATGACTGCAGTCCTTCAATGAATTGGTCTCTGATGACTCCATTCACGATTGTGTCCACATCGGTGCTGTCGAAGCTGCATTGTTGTGCCATAGCCCGAAGGGCTGACAAATAGGCTGTCGATTCCGCCAATATTCAGCAGCAGTTTCCTCTTCTGCGCGGCTGCGTCGATCTTCTGTAGGTCAAGGTAGGCTTCGAAGTCTTCCAACCACAAGGCGAATTCCTCAGCTTGGTTCGTGTCCTCAGAGACTTGAAAGGAACTTGGGGCTCTGCCGAGAGAACTTGCCATCTTGAGTCCTGCTTGTTCACTGCGCCAATGTTGTCCTGAAGACTGAACTGCTGTTACATACTAGAGAGACCGAATATAAGGTAAATAGGTGCGAGGTACATATTGTGACATAACTAACACCAGGGTACTAAAGGTGACACCTACATAGTATCTACTACCACACTCACTGTAGTCTTTTGGACGCTGAGTCGACTGGTTTTGGTCCGAAAAGGCTGCGATGCAGCGTTCGGCCCTTATTCCCAATCGAACATGCTTGAACAAGCGGTCACGTGCTCCTGCGTACACCAGTCACCTGGTCACCGTGCCTGCAGGGTACAACTTACTAGCCTGTTTGACCTTTTTTGGGTGCAGTCCTGTCACTCGAGTTGAACCTTGGTGTGAAAGTTGTCGCCGCTGGTGTGGTGACCAGGTGATTTGGGCACCCAGGAGCACGTGACCGCTTGTCCAACCACATTCGATTGGGAATAAGGGCCGAACGCTGCATCGCAGCCTTTTCGGACCAAAACCAGTCGGCTCAGCGTCCAAAAGACTACAACATATGGGCCAATCGCGGTCATCCGTGCTTTTATAAGAACGAAATGGCGCTTTTAGTGACATTTTGCATACAAATCCCCATCTAGTAGGGCGCAGTCACCCAGTTTCGGTGGAAGTGCGCGAGTTCGATTGGGATTCAAGTAAGAAGGGAGCGTCTCAGCTTTCTCGGACCAAGACCATTCGACTCAGCACCCCGAAGACTACAACTGGTGAAATTTTTAATTTTTGCCTTAACTTCCCGTTTAAGATGTTGCAAGACTTAGTGTACAGTCATGTACACATTCGTGTCGTACTCGCAACATTTTCGATGCATGCGCGTTTTGTGCGACCCCAAGAGGGGGGAAATCCCGTACCGAGCGTAAGTACCATTCTACTCGTTTAGGCGATACAATGGAAATAACCGTTTGATGATCTATTTCTTATCGTGTAAGTTACCAGTACTGTAAAACGGAAAAGTCTAACGTTTTAACTAGGGGTCAAAGGGGTGTTCCGGGTACCTGGGTACCCGCCCGTTAATCTCTGGTACCGTTAGTAAAAGGGTACCCGTTTGGATTTCGATGATTCAGTCAGTACGGAACAACACCGCTGGGATCGCGCATTCCCGGCGGGAGTCAATTATTTACAACTCCACCCTTGATGTCTGCATTGTTGTTGCATTTTCGCACCTAGTAGGTCTGCCTCTGCAACTATCAGACACAAATCAATCCGCGAATCACAATGTGATATCAAAATGCATCCGGAGACCAGATACAAATGTAAATTAAAATCATTATTTATGTAAAAATGCGCAAAAATTAAACATGGCTGCTAAAGGGTACCCGTTAACCCGCCCGGTAAGAAAATTACCCGTTCGTTAGTTAAAGGTACACCCGTTTGACCCCTAGTTTTAACGACTAATTATTTTTTCGTTATTTGAAAAACGCATTATCGCTAGATGTCTGAGTAAAGATGCGCATACAGATGGGTGGTGAGGTAGCCATCGTTAAGCTTTCTGCAAGTAATCATGCCAAAATTACAAAAAGCGTTAAACTTTTTGGTCTTTAGACTTTCCAGTTTTACAGTAATCGATATAATCGTTTCAGCACTAATTTTAGCACACAGCTAGAATTTGCTATCCCTTTATGATCTTTATCCGATCCCCGGACCTGCATTTCTTCTTCTATTATTGGTTACAGGCCATGGTGAGAATAGAAGATTTCAGGCAACAACGCTGAGTGCAGTTGCCATACCTACCAATCAGCAACGCTGAGTGCCGTTGCCATGCTTACCAATCAACAACGCTGAGTGCAGTTGCCATGCTTACCTGTACAGCTGTTGGGTTTTCTGCGTGATTTTTTACGCTTGATAAGGATGACGGCAGCCAGCATGACTAGTAGAACGAGACCCCCTGCACTAGCAATTGCCGTTATCATCAGTGAGCCTGATGCTGCACCTGAGCTGCCGGGCCCTAACAACATCACACAGACACACAAGCAAAGAGCCGTGATTTCGTCCCAAAGGTATACAAGAGGAGGCAAACAAGATGCTGTTACTCAGAGCTTCATGCGCCAGTGACCGTCAGACAGGACCAGACAGCACCCTCCCCCCCCCCCCCACACACAAATATAGACCACTTTATTGTACAAGCCTGATGCTGTGAACTTCTCATCTTCAATGACATCATACAGGCCGATGTGACATCATACAGGCCGATGTGACATCATACATGCCGATGTGACATCATACAGGCCAATGTGACATCATACAGGCCGATGTGACATCATACAGGCCGATGTGACATCATACAGGCCGATGTGACATCATACAGGCCAATGTGACATCATACAGGCCGGTGTGACATCATACAGGCCAATGTGACATCATACAGGCCAATGTGACATCATACAGGCCGATGTGACATCATACAGGCCGGTGTGACATCATACAGGCCAATGTGACATCATACAGGCCAATGTGACATCATACAGGCCGATGTGACATCATACAGGCCGGTGTGACATCATACAGGCCAATGTGACATCATACAGGCCGGTGTGACATCATACAGGCCGATGTGACATCATACAGGCCGGTGTGACATCATACAGGCCGATGTGACATCATACAGGCCAATGTGACATCATACAGGCCGGTGTGACATCATACAGGCCGATGTGACATCATACAGGCCGGTGTGACATCATACAGGCCGGTGTGACATCATACAGGCCGGTGTGACATCATACAGGCCGATGTGACATCATACAGGCCGGTGTGACATCATACAGGCCGGTGTGACATCATACAGGCCGATGTGACATCATACAGGCCGATGTGACATCATACAGGCCGGTGTGACATCATACAGGCCGATGTGACATCATACAGGCCGGTGTGACATCATACAGGCCGATGTGACATCATACAGGCCGATGTGACATCATACAGGCCAATGTGACATCATACAGGCCGATGTGACATCATACAGGCCGGTGTGACATCATACAGGCCGATGTGACATCATACAGGCCGATGTGACATCATACAGGCCGATGTGACATCATACAGGCCAATGTGACATCATACAGGCCGATGTGACATCATACAGGCCGATGTGACATCATACAGGCCGATGTGACATCATACAGGCCGATGTGACATCATACAGGCCGATGTGACATCATACAGGCCAATGTGACATCATACAGGCCGATGTGACATCATACAGGCCGGTGTGACATCATACAGGCCGATGTGACATCATACAGGCCGGTGTGACATCATACAGGCCGATGTGACATCATACAGGCCGATGTGACATCATACAGGCCGGTGTGACATCATACAGGCCCATGTGACATCATACAGGCCGATGTGACATCATACAGGCCGATGTGACATCATACAGGCCAATGTGACATCATACAGGCCGATGTGACATCATACAGGCCGGTGTGACATCATACAGGCCGATGTGACATCATACAGGCCGGTGTGACATCATACAGGCCGATGTGACATCATACAGGCCGATGTGACATCATACAGGCCGGTGTGACATCATACAGGCCGATGTGACATCATACAGGCCGATGTGACATCATACAGGCCGATGTGACATCATACAGGCCGATGTGACATCATACAGGCCGGTGTGACATCATACAGGCCGATGTGACATCATACAGGCCGGTGTGACATCATACAGGCCGATGTGACATCATACAGGCCGATGTGACATCATACAGGCCGGTGTGACATCATACAGGCCGATGTGACATCATACAGGCCGATGTGACATCATACAGGCCGATGTGACATCATACAGGCCAATGTGACATCATACAGGCCGATGTGACATCATACAGGCCGGTGTGACATCATACAGGCCGATGTGACATCATACAGGCCGGTGTGACATCATACAGGCCGATGTGACATCATACAGGCCGATGTGACATCATACAGGCCGGTGTGACATCATACAGGCCGATGTGACATCATACAGGCCGATGTGACATCATACAGGCCGATGTGACATCATACAGGCCGATGTGACATCATACAGGCCGATGTGACATCATACAGGCCGGTGTGACATCATACAGGCCGATGTGACATCATACAGGCCGATGTGACATCATACAGGCCGATGTGACATCATACAGGCCGGTGTGACATCATACAGGCCGGTGTGACATCATACAGGCCGATGTGACATCATACAGGCCGATGTGACATCATACAGGCCGATGTGACATCATACAGGCCGGTGTGACATCATACAGGCCGATGTGACATCATACAGGCCGATGTGACATCATACAGGCCGGTGTGACATCATACAGGCCGATGTGACATCATACAGGCCGATGTGACATCATACAGGCCGATGTGACATCATACAGGCCGATGTGACATCATACAGGCCGGTGTGACATCATACAGGCCGATGTGACATCATACAGGCCGATGTGACATCATACAGGCCGATGTGACATCATACAGGCCGGTGTGACATCATACAGGCCGGTGTGACATCATACAGGCCGATGTGACATCATACAGGCCGATGTGACATCATACAGGCCGATGTGACATCATACAGGCCGGTGTGATTATTTTTTAAACTACTGCTACCCTAGTCACTTCTTTTAAAAGTCACCATGGCCACTGCTGCTGTCACCATGGCCACTGCCACTGCCGCTGTCACCATGGTCACTGCCACTGCCACTGTCACCATGGCCACTGCCACTGCTGCTGTCACCATGGCCACTGCCACTGCCGCTGTCACCATGGCCACTGCCACTGCCGCTGTCACCATGGTCACTGCCACTGCCACTGCTGCTGTCACCATGGCCACTGCCACTGCCGCTGTCACCATGGCCACTGCCACTGCCACTGTCACCATGGCCACTGCCACTGCTGCTGTCACCATGGCCACTGCCACTGCCGCTGTCACCATGGTCACTGCCACTGCCACTGTCACCATGGCCACTGCCACTGCCACTGCCGCTGTCACCATGGTCACTGCCACTGCCGCTGTCACCATGGTCACTGCCACTGCCGCTGTCACCATGGTCACTGCCACTGCCACTTCCGCTGTCACCATGGTCACTGCCACCATACGGTCTTGCACTGCAATTCCGATAGTTAGTATCTACCGGAGAGGATGTACCGCAATGTGCTGACAGTGCTCAACACCTCGGAGGCAGAGCGTAATACACAGAACAAGAAAAGTCATCAACTAATATTACTTGCTAGGTAGTCGCTACTCTGTGTTTTCTGCTTTCGCAATCATCAGGCTCTGTTGCCTGATGACGCCACGCAAAGTGGTCATTAGCTACCCCAGCCATGTATTGCTTGGAATAAAATAAATAAATAAATTACGAAAGCAGAAAACTGAGAGCAGCAAAAACTAGCCACTTGCTTGCCCCTGTTGTTCGGTGCAGTTCGTATCTCTAACTGTTGGCCTTTGTGGCTTCCCGACGGAGTGTACTACCGACCATCGCAAATTGCAGTGCAAGATCATCATGGTGATGGTCAGGGTTATTTATTTTCAAATCTCCACCGATCGTCTCTCTAAGCGATGATTAATTGCCTGCAATGTAGCCAAAAATGGAATCCGAGCAGACACCGTGGCTTCTGCATACTAGTGAAGAAAGCTTGAAGCGCACATGGTATGGTAGCGCATGTGGTAGGCAATGGAGAAGTCTGCCCTTCTCGACTCAATTCGGCTTGCAGTACAGAACCTCAGTCTATGTCATCATCATTCACTGCATTGCCCACTCCATGTCTTCCACCTACGAAGGACCTATTACAGATCAAACCTTTGTCAACTGCATCCATTTTCAATGCATTAATTCGCCTCCCCTTAACTGAAGTATTAGCCCAATCCCTGACTGAACTCTTCAACCGTTGCATTTTAAGCAGTACGCAGACTCTTGAGTGGAAATCAGCGGCAGTCATTCCCCTCTACAAGGGTTGGGGAGATGCCTCTGACCCACTGAGTTACCGACCCATTTCCCGCCTTGATGGAGTCGGTAAACTCATTGAGTCAATCATAAGCCGTTAGTTCTACTCGTTTGTAGAGGTCAATAGCTTACTATCTCCGAGCCAGTTTGGCTTCGGCGCCACTGCTGAACTGTTGATCAGATCCTATGCCTCGCTACCAGAGTTGCCAAAGCATTTGATGCCAAAGCGCTGTGTGATGGGGTGTTTCTCGACCTGTCGAAGGCATTCGATCGGACCAGTCATGCAGTCATTTTACATGTCCTTTCTGGCTGGTGCAGCACGTCTGCCCGTGACTTGGTCCAGGACTGTATATCTGGTCATATCCTGCATGTTTGTGTCGGCGACACAGTTTCAATACCTTCTCCCTTATCTGCCGGAGTTCCCCAGGGTTGACATCTTGGTCCGCTTTCATTCAACACGAGCATAGATTCCCTCGTCAGTGTACCCTGTACTGGTAGAATGACTCTATTTTGCTGACGATTCCAATCTTTTCTGCTGCTCCGTGCCTGGCACGTCCAGAGCGATACACACTGCAGCCCTCCAATCTGATCTGGATGGCTGTCTGTCCTGGTCTGAGAGCATCTCAGCTGAATTTAACCCCAGTAAATGTTACCATAATTATGGTCTTTCCCCTATCCCAGCTACTTCTGGGACCATTTCCATGAATGGTGTTAAGATCAATTGTGTCCCAAACCACCGTCATCTCGGTGTCCTATTATCATCCACTTTGAATTTTTCTGACCATATTGTTGCTTTTACGAATAAATTTTGTTCTCGTGTCTTTCTCCTTTCGGGATATGTCTCAGTTCCTCCCACCTTCCACTATCAGTGTTCTAAGTGTTATGTCCGACCCCTCCTGGAGTATGCCGTGCCAACTTGGATGTATTCGTTGAATGGCAGTCTTCCCTCCATACTTGGTAAGCTTCAAGCCACGGCTGCTAGGTCATACTTGTCCTGCGCTCGTCGTTGGCCAGATCGCCTGACTTCTAAGGAGGACCTCAATTCTCTTGTTTCATGGGAATCTCTGGCATGGTGTCGTCCGAGTTTAGTTCCTTCTATTTTTCATTGTTTAATTGGTTTGGAGAGACTCCCATGACAGGTATCCATATCACCAGGAAAATATGGATAATCACTGTGACTGGAGATAAGGATAAGAAACTGACGTGGTGTGAAATAAGACAAAGGTGTGAGAAGAAGGAGTGTGCAAGTGTACAGAGCGCCAAGAGGGGGTGTCACACAGGGGTGTCGGGCACAGAGCGCCAAGAGGGTGTCACACAGGGGTGTCACACAGGGGTGTCACACAGGGGTGTCACACAGGGGTGTCACACAGGGGTGTCACACAGGGGTGTCACACAGGGGTGTCACACAGGGGTGTCACACAGGGGTGTCACACAGGGGTGACACACAGGGGTGTCACACAGGGGCGTCACACAGGGGTGTCACACAGGGGTGTCACACAGGGGTGTCACACAGGGGTGTCACACAGGGGTGACACACAGGGGTGTCACACAGGGGTGTCACACAGGGGTGTCACACAGGGGTGTCACACAGGGGTGTCACACAGGGGTGTCACACAGGCAGGGGCGTCGGGCACACTACGGTCACTATGGTATTGACCGTACCACTACTTTCCCCAGTTACCCCCTGAATCAATAGAATGCCCTGATTTGGGCAGTCTAGATTTCAAAATTTCTGCAGAGCTCCCTCTCCCCTTCCCACTAGACTATACCTCAGAAGGCTGACATTACCACCCTTAAACACCTTCCAACGCCCCTGGTGCGTGTGCTATATTAGGCGAGAGTGATAAAGGCAAGATCTGTATCCGCCTGGTGATGATGACGTACGCATTAGCATGCATGCTATAAGCTTCTCTAGTGCAGAAGAAGACCTCTGGTTGGTGGAGCATGCCGGCAGGCCCCACCAGCATCATCTCACCCCATGCTAGCCCATAATTATGCCTGCCGGTGAGTTGTGTAAATTGTAAAAAAAGAGTTCAAATGTGAACTCGGACGGTGAGCCAATTGAAGTATGGTAAAAGGTTGTTGGTTTGCGCATTGGAGAAGTGTCGGAGCTAGGTGTCAGGTAGTCCAATGTCTCAGTACTCCTTGTCAGTTTCGTGCCATTTTGTCGCACTCACTGACAGTATCTGATCTGGTTACGTTGGTGGACAGTCAGTCATAATTCGTAACATTTTGTCCTTCTCCTTTTTTACCAACAGATTTTGCTTTTCACGCTACTTACGTCGACACAATTGTCCATCTCCCGTAAACCCAGTATTACACGCACACGCGTAAGAGCCGCCATTCGGTGTCGCCACACAGGAAGCGTTTTCACCGCAAGTGTGAACTCCGTCAGCACATCCCTGTGTCTGCGTGGTGATGACTATGCAGCGTGTGAGTGAAGAACACATGCAGAGAAAGACGAACAGCATTACAAGCACAATGAGAATGTGCCGCCACAGGTAGATGTCAAGTAAAGCATGAATAACAGGAGACCTAGCGAGACACTATTCGTGAGCTTTTGCCAAGACCTAAAATGACAGATGATTTGTGTCCTTTCTCTCTTTAAAAAGATCTTTAAAAAAGGTAACGTGTAATGTGTTGAAGTTTTCCGCATGAGAACTAACAGACATGTACATACTCAGGTTGCATTCTTACATGAACAGACAAATGATCCTACATGAACTGACAAACGATCACAGACTCATTCCTACATGAACTGACAAACGATCACAGACTCATCCTTACATGAACTGACAAACGATCACAGACTCATTCTTACATGAACTGACAAACGATCACAGACTCATCCTTACATGACCTGACAAACGATCACAGACTCATCCTTACATGACCTGACAAACGATCACAGACTCATCCTTACATGAACTGACAAACGATCACAGACTCATTCCTACATGAACTGACAAACGATCACAGACTCATTCCTACATGAACTGACAAACGACCACAGACTCATCCTTACATGAACTGACAAACGATCACAGACTCATTCTTACATGAACTGACAAACGATCACAGACTCATCCTTACATGACCTGACAAACGATCACAGACTCATCCTTACATGAACTGACAAACGATCACAGACTCATTCCTACATGAACTGACAAACGATCACAGACTCATTCCTACATGAACTGACAAACGATCACAGACTCATTCCTACATGAACTGACAAACGATCACAGACTCATTCCTACATGAACTGACAAACGATCACAGACTCATTCCTACATGAACTGACAAACGATCACAGACTCATTCCTACATGAACTGACAAACGATCACAGACTCATCAGTGCAAGTGCAGGTACAGGTAGGTTCTTGGTTAGGTAAAACAACAACAGTTCCTGCAATCAATCCCAGCATGCGCCGCAATGCAGGAGTAATCATTGGCCTATACTACACACTGTGGAGCTGTGTAGTAGTAATATAACAACTCGCATACACAAGAACAGATCACGGTGTCAGGCATGCTGCATGCTTAGGGGTTGTCGCAAAAGTTTTCTGTCGTCCCTGAAACGAACATCGTTCATTTCGTACTCGGACCCCCTCCCCTCCCTCTGAAACGAACACAGCTTGCTATGCTGGACGACGAAAATCGCATGCATGTACATGTCATATGTACAGTGTCGGTCGACTTGCGATTTTGGCTCGCACCCCCTCCCCCCCTCCCCCCCCAAATGACTCATGTTTGTTTCAGGGACGACAAAAAACTTTTGCGACGACCCCTTAAGCTGTGTAGTAGAAATATAACAACTCGCCTACACAAGAACAGATCACGGTGCTAGGCATGCTGCATGCTTAAGCTGTGTAGTAGAAATATAACAACTCGCATACACAAGAACAGATCACGGTGTCAGGCATGCTGCTTACCAGCACAGTTTGCTCCAGAGTAGCCAGTGGAACAACGACACTGATAAGATCCTGGCGTGTTGACACACGTCGTGTCCACCGGTGGACAGCTGTGGTTGCCAATGCTACCACATTCATCCACATCGAGGCAGTTTCCATTGCTCTCCGTGAAGCCAGCGCGGCATGCACAGGTGAAGCCGTCTCCGGGTAGGGGGATATCGGTGCACACAAACAAAGGACTACCGCAGGGATCCGCGTCACAGCTGTCCAGATCCTCTTCGCAATTCTTGCCAGTTCGACCTGGAAGTGGAGTGTTCACAGAGTGCCTTAGAGCAAGCACAATAATTACATGTGTGTGCAGTCTGCACCACGACGTGGTGCACAATAATTACATCTGTGCAGTGTGCACAATAATTACATGTGCAGTGTGCAGTGTGCAGTGTGCAGTGTGCAGTGTGCAGTGTGCAGTGTGCAGTGTGCAGTGTGCAGTGTGCACGATGACGTGGCCAACCACTAGTAGATCACTCTTTTACAGGTTTTTATAATAGAGGACACAATTGCCTTCTTCAGGCAGGCAGAATTTCAAGTATTGCCCATGAAATACATGTAGCTGTGTATGACTAGTGGCTAGTGGGCATACACTGAATGCTGCCAACCCACTCACAACCCACTACAGTGCCAAGGGGTGGACTAAATAGTGTGCGTTGTTAGGGGCCGTCCAAGGTTACCAATCGTATTTTCAAGACGAAAAGTTTTCGTTTGGGGGTGGGTGGGTTTGAAGGAGTTTAGCGTTGAAAATAATTATTATTGAATGCAGATGGAGAATGCCCAGTTACTTCTGGGGATCGAAAATTGACATCAATACAAAGGTAGAATACTTTGTGTCTTTTGCTTTATCCTACTTCAAGTCAGTCTGTGTTTTGGCATTGGTCCTGCACAGTCAATACAATCTTACACTGAGGGTTTGGCACTCCAGGGACCTGGGCAAAGGGTCGTTATAACGGATTTTATGTACCGTAAAGTACCGTTGATCTCTCCCCCCCCCCCCGCCATGCCGCTTTCCAGCTGGGTTTTCGGCAGGGGGGGGGGGGGGGGGAATTAGATCAAGGCTGTCAAGTGCAGTACGATGTAGAACAACGTGAAGTTCAGACTCGGTGAGCTGGATTGTGCCCATTTTCATCATGCACTGGCACGTATTGTGTACAGCAGTGCATGCGTCGGTTCAACATCGTATTTCGTCGTACATGCTGAAGTCGCTTCACAGATAGAAAATCGACAGGGGTGGCAATTAGAGAGGGGGTGGCAATTAGAGAGTGGGTGGCAATTAGAGAGGGGTGGCAATTAGAGAGTGGGTGGCAATTAGAGAGGAGGTGGCAATTAGAGAGGAGGTGGCAATTAGAGAGGAGGTGGCATTATAGAGGGGGTGGCAATTAGAGAGTGGGTGGCAATTAGAGAGTGGGTGGCAATTAGAGAGTGGGTGGCAATTAGAGAGTGGGTGGCAATTAGAGAGTGAGTGGCAATTAGAGAGTGGGTGGCAATTAGAGAGGAGGTGGCAATTAGAGAGGAGGCGGCAATTAGAGAGGGGGTGGCAATTAGAGAGTGGGTGGCAATTAGAGAGTGGGTGGCAATAAGAGAGTGGGTGGCAATTAGAGAGTGGGTGGCAATTAGAGAGTGGGTGGCAATTAGAGAGGGGTGGCAATTAGAGAGGGGGTGGCAATTAGAGAGGGGGTGGCAATTAGAGAGGAGGTGGCAATTAGAGAGTGGGTGGCAATTAGAGAGTGGGTGGAAATTAGAGAGGAGGCGGATCAACGGTACCTTATGGTATTAACGAAGTATGTTGTAAGCGGACCTGTAAAGTATAAATAGTTGCATAGACCACGTTTCACCAGGGGATTTCAGATCTCTATGAACTAGCGGGGTTTATGTACTAACCGGACTCGTTATAATGAAGGAAGACCTGTAATACTAAAACTTTGAAATTCTCCGTCAAGTCCAAATTTGAAATTGCAATTTGTATTTGCTCGCAGTGGGCATAGTTTGATGCGCTCCCCATGATATCAAGCGAATGGCCGAGGGCCCTCTTGATTGGTGCGAGTTGCCAGTATGATGCGCGCCAGATCTGGATTGATCGAAGAAGGATAGATTTACCATCACTGTGGATAAGAGTCATACTGTAGCTCAGTTGGTTAGAGCATTGCTCGCGAATAGCAAGGTCCCTGGTTCGAGTCCCGGTGGTGTGACTGATGATTTTTTTCTTTCTTTCATATCTGGCTTGCAAGTGTTGAGTTTCGGAGAGAAAAGAGCAGTACGTGGCATGTGGCCTCTAATTTCATACAACTTTGAAATTCTCTGTGAAGTCCAAATTTGAAATTGAAGACCTGTAATAATAATTTGATAACCGCAATCAGTAATACAAGCTGGATCGACATTTGTGTACACTGTATTCATGTATTGTAAAACTGTGGAGACAATGTGCAATAAAACGATGAAAAAATGTGAAGAAATTGTGTAGAGAAAGAAAGGGATTCAAACAAGTTTTCGTACAACACTCATCAGGAATCATCGTTGTACTAAAGGACACTGAAACAAAAATTGAACTATTATAGAAAATCTAAGTTAGAGAAATAACACTAAGAGCAACAACAGTGAAATTTACAAGTGTGAATTTTAACAATCAAAGCGAGAAATGAACAAAGGAGAAAGAAAGGAAAGACAACGTGATAACACATAACAGCAGTACATTACACCTAGAACATTAACGGCCAAGCTTGGCCGCACTAAACACGACACGTTACTTGAACAATTTCAACCCAATTATACTATCTTTCTGTACACACAAATTAGGCTTGTACAGACGCTGATAGATAGCTTCCAACACTAATTTGTGTGTACAGCACTAATTTGTGTGTACAGAAAGATAGTATAATTGGGTTGAAATTGTTCAAGTAACGTGTCGTGTTTAGTGCGGCCAAGCTTGGCCGTTAATGTTCTAGGTGTAATGTACTGCTGTTATGTGTTATCACGTTGTCTTTCCTTTCTTTCTCCTTTGTTCATTTCTCGCTTTGATTGTTAAAATTCACACTTGTAAATTTCACTGTTGTTGCTCTTAGTGTTATTTCTCTAACTTAGATTTTCTATAATAGTTCAATTTTTGTTTCAGTGTCCTTTAGTACAACGATGATTCCTGATGAGTGTTGTACGAAAACTTGTTTGAATCCCTTTCTTTCTCTACACAATTTCTTCACATTTTTTCATCGTTTTATTGCACATTGGCTCCACAGTTTTACAATACATGAATACAGTGTACACAAATGTCGATCCAGCTTGTATTACTGATTGCGGTTATCAAATTGTTGTCTCCTCGCCGTTTGTTGTAATAATAATATTAAATTAATACTCGGATGGTGAGCCAATTAAATAATTGTGAAAAGAAGAAGGACAAAATGTTACGAGTTATGACTAACTGTCCACCATCCAGTAAGGGCCTGGTCAGACTGCGGCAAATTTTGGTTGCCTGACGAAAACAGAAAAACGTCCAGAATTAGAATCGCGATCACACTACACATGTGGGGAGAATGAAAATTCAAACTTCACTTCGAGCGTCAAGTGGTAATCTCCACGAACGACGTCAAATTCCTTCACCTTGGAGATCAACAACACCTTCAGTGCAATCCTTGCAACCATCCTTATGAGTTTTGTTGTTGTCCATTGCCAATTAGCTCCTCGATATCGAGATGAAAAAATAAGTGAATCATCAGCGTCAATGGCGTATCAGCGTCAAACTCCTGTTGGAGCGGAAAAGCGTGATCCGTTCTTGCTTTTTTTTGGAGCGTCAACTCCCGCTTTTGCCGCTCTGGCGGCAAGTTACTATGGAGATTCGGATTATAATCCTAGGATTATTTCGATTTTGCCGCAGTCTGACCAGGCCCTAACTTTCGGCATTCTTTGTTGCTGAGATGCGTAGCTCGTGCTCTCCTTCGTTGCGCTCTCCTTCCCCTCTTGGACCTTTCCGAACCTGAGCCTCCCAAGTTGGAAGGTTGTTGGTTTGCGCCTTGGAGAAGTGTTGGAGCTAGGTGTCAGGTCGCCGAGTGTCTCAGTACTCTTTGTCAGTGTTGTGCCATTTTGTCGCACTCGCTGACTGTATAAGATCTGGTTACGTTGGTGGACAGTTAGTCATAACTCGTAACATTTTGCCCTTCTTCTGTTCACAATTATTAAATTAATACAGGGAAAAATGGAAAAATGTCAAAATACAGCAACTTATAGAGCTACAGCAAAAGCATAGATCGAAAACATCACGCTATACGTGTGGGAAAAAATAAAATTCAGCAGAATTTTTCAAAAACAGGGTGAAGGTGAAGAAATGACTAAAACATAATGAAAACATCAGTGAGGAGAAGCATTCCTGACACTTTCACGAGGATTAGTGCCAAACACCTGAAGTGACAAAACATTTTCCTTCCGAACACATAGTTCAGGGGACAACTTACGAATATATAACGCTTCCAAAACAGACAAATGTAATTCAGGTCTGCGGGCCAAAACTGAGAAAACATCATCTCTGTACAACTCACGACAACTATCACTAACAGACATAATTATTACTCTTGATAGCCAATTGCTGATTGTTGGAATGTCGCGTTGTTTTCGTCACCTCCAATGTCGCAGCTCTTGCCGAACTTGACACTTGACTGACTCACGACTGCCATCCGGAGCACACGAGGAGCACGCCGCACCTTCCACTCGCCAAACCTGCAAGAAAGCACCACTTTCTGCTCAATACACAGTGTTTCGGGGAATTCACCCCTCATGAGTTGAGCTTGGGTAGGCTGAGGAAGATTGTGCCTGAAAAGCACCACTTATATACGGCTCTCTAGGCCAAACCATCACCAGGGATACAAACTTACAGAGACGCTTTGTTTCCAGCGTGACAAACACCTCGTGAAGCTCCAGGTAGCAGCGTGAGTCAGAGTCGCTCATGGAGTTGTGCTAAACAGACATTGAGAGCCAGTTTAGCTATTCACAACGCTGTCGCCTTCAACAACTAGTCACACGTCCTCGTGAGGGACAACAATACTACTCAAGCTCAACTAATGAGGGGTGAATTCCCCGAAACATTGTGTATTGAGCAGGGAGTGGTGCTTTCTTGCAGGTTTGACGAGTGGAAGGTGCGGCGTGCTTCTCGTGTGCTCCGGATGGCAGTCGTGAGTCAGTCAAGTGTCAAGTTCGGCAAGAAGCGTGTGTTCCTAGTTGGAACAATCAACTTCATTCAATAATTAATAGTTAATACATAACTCACCGGGATCGCACGTCTCGCAATCAAGCTGGGTGAATGTTTCCGTCAAGTCAGAAGCGTCTGGAGGCCGTTGACAAGTTCCATAGCAGCCGCAAAGCGTGACCGGGATAGTCACATAGGCTTTTTCAAAGTTATTATCACTCACGGTTGCACTCAGCTTAACCTGACTACCTCTCGGATGCCTCTCGGTCGGTCTCCATGACAACCGGAGAGTGTTTGAGGACTCTTCTTGAGTGGAAATAGCAATTCCATAGTCATGGTGGATTATGTAGTAAATGCCTACATTGGCTGCAGCCCTGCCGGTCACGCTGACTGAGCATGTACGGTTGAATGTACAGTGTAGAGCTGATGATGGGCTTACGGTTATGATAGGTGGAGTGCGCGCTGGTCGTAGAAACACACGAAACACACACACACATATATTATGTACACATGTGCACATACGCACATACACACACACACACACATACAAACGGCACACTCACGTATGTACACACACACACACATACACGCACACACATGCCCCCCCACACACACAGACACACACACACACACACACACACACACACACACACACGCACACGCATGCCCCCCCCCCCCCCCACACACACACAGACAGACACACACACACACTATTGGGGACAAGTTCACAAATGTTCCATGAGAGATGTGGAGCACTCACGGAGCGATAAATAACACTGAGTGTGCACAGATGCTTATTTTTATTTTATTTTATTTTTTATACTGAAGTGCACAGTCTAGCAGAGAATGGAATGGGAAGACAGAACTGACTGTTCCAGGAGAAATGTCTAGAACACAATAGAGGTCAACCCTATGCCGTTCGAGGATATTGCTGGTGCATGAAAAGTCCCATGCAGAAAACAATGATCAAGCAACGCCTCATCATTGCTCACTGCGTGACACTTGAAGTAGGAGCTATATTTGTCTATTCAGAAAGTGGTGGACATCACGCAACTGCATTGTAAAAATGTAAATAAAATGGGGGTTTGTCAACTGACAGCCGCTCTATTTAGTTGCTATTCACTCGCTGGATGAAAATTCTTTTATCAGTGACTTTGAAACAAATTATTGACGTTTTGTGCCAGTCACCCATCGTCAGAATGAAGTCAATAATATTTGTCCAGTTGTCCTTACCCTTACCTTAAAGGGGAAGTTAAAGCTAAAATAAAAATTTCACCAGTTGTAGTCTTCGGGGTGCTGAGTCAAATGGTCGTGGTCCGAGGAAGCTGAGACGCTCCCTTCCTACTTTAATCCCAATCGAACTCGCGCACTTCCACCGAAACTGGGTGACTGCGCCCTACTAGATGGGGATTTGTATGCAAAATGTCACTAAAAGCGCCATTTCGTTCTTATAAAAGCACGGATGACCGCGATTGGCCCATATGTTGTAGTCTTTTGGACGCTGAGTCGACTGGTTTTGGTCCGAAAAGGCTGCGATGCAGCGTTCCTCCTTTATTCCCAATCGAACATGGTTGAACAAGCGGTCACGTGCTCCTGCGTACACCAGTCACCTAGTCACCGTGCCTTCAGGGTACAACTTACTAGCCTATTTGACCTTTTTTGGGTGCAGTCCTGTCACTCGAGTTGAACTCGAGTTGAACCCTGGTGTGAAAGTTGTCGCCTGCTGGCGTGGTGACCAGGTGATTTGGGCACCCAGGAGCACGTGACCGCTTGTTCAACCATGTTCGATTGGGAATAAAGGAGGAACGCTGCATCACAGCCTTTTCGGACCAAAACCAGTCGACTCAGCGTCCAAAAGACTACAACATATGGGCTAATCGCGGTCATCCGTGCTTTTATAAGAACGAAATGGTGCTTTTAGTGACATTTTGCATACAAATTCCCATCTAGTAGAGCGCAGTCACCCAGTTTCGATGGAAGTGCACGAGTTCGATTGGGATTCAAGTAGGAAGAGAGCATCTCAGCTTTCTCGGACCAAGACCATTCGACTCAGCACCCCGAAGACTACAACTGGTGAAATTTTGATTTTTGCCTTAACTTCCCCTTTAATTCAGGCCATTGTTCCCAAAAGGAAATGTGTCTTTCCCCATGCGATTTGGTCAAGGGAAATTCATTTTTCCTCCGCATTTTCTGTTTATATACATATCTAGAAGGCTGACGATCATGAATCTTGGAATATTTGTCAGGCTTTTGAAATTTTCAAGTATCGGAATAGGACGCGAAATGTCGTGAATTTTCGGTATTCGGCCGTACTTCAGAAATTGAGAATACTGGTGTGAAAAGTAGTCTTTATTAGACTAATCCACACGTAAGAAATGCACTCTGCTACTATGGCCACCCAACTGGCCTGAAGATTCACCGGAAATTTGGTCATGGCACATAAAAACCCGCCGACTTTCTTCGATGTTCCCAAAAGGGACCGTTGGCCTGATCCGAGACCCAGATATACCTCATTTTCACCAGATTTCAGGAACCAGTATATCTAGCGCATATACCTTCCGTAAACGTGGATATATAACTGATGGAGCCTTTTTGATGTTTTGATGGTGATTGGACCGTCTCCATGGTAACCAAATTTGGTCATATATTTGTGATTCACTAGCATGCGGAATACGGCAATGTTTTGCGAGGTTGACATTTGCCAAAGTAAACATTGCTAAACAGTCTCTAAAGGGATGTACTTCTGAAGTAGGTCTTCTTTTGTGTAACAAGATTCACTTGAACAATATTCAACAAAGTATGGATGCTTTATGCCGTTCTCCTGAACTTTCGATGATTGTTTCCTCCGCGCAGTTGCATTTTTGTCAGAAAATATCGCTTTAGCTGTAATGTGGTACGGCAGAGGGAAATGTCTACAGTAGCAGAGTCCTTTCTGGAAAGGGACTCAAAAGTGATTCCAATGGAAACTAAGGACTTTGTTGCGAAGCGTACACACACTTCAGGACCTTGTCATAGCGCCACCGATTACTGGCAATCTGAACGTGAGCGTAAAGGGGTAAGGCATCCTGCAGCTTCATAACTCGAAAAGAAATGGTGAGCACACTTGCTCCTTCCCTGAGCACTGCAAATTCACAACTCAGTTCACTGCATGTTGCTAATGATTCAGTGATTCTGATGGAGTGGATTTGCTGTGCCCAGGGAAAGAGCATGTGTGCTCATCACTTCTCGTTGATCTGAACGTGGACCATAAAATAGAGTAGTAATCAGATGATTCAACGGATGATAACGGTTTCATCGAACTTGCAAGAGATATGGACCTAGACAACTACCTGGTGACGAATGGAGAGGATGATGATGTTGGTGCCTGTCCTGTTGATAGTGAGTACGACGGCAAAAAAAACGCTGACCCGCTGGAGCAACGCGTTGGGTGAAATAGACCGGTGTTTATGATAGGCGTCCTGAAATTGAACTAGACTAATCCCTTCACGATCACCATGAGATCACTTCAGCATCACCCACTTGCCAATCGCGAGATATACACACCCTGTACATCTCTAAACAATATTGGACGAGTAAATACTGCGCGATACCCGCGATACGGACAAGGCCAACATTAGCTCGGAGACCGACAATCTTGAGAGATTCATTGTAATTCTGTTTGTCTGGCTCCACATTCTTACAAATGATCTGAGAGTGCGAATTTTTCAAGCAGCCGTGCGCCCCAAGCCGATGCCCTACATCCAGTTTCATCCCGAGATTGCCGTCCTATTAATTTTATTATAGCCGATCCCGGCCAGAACCACCAGTGTCTTGCTGTTGATGTGCAATATAAGGGCGTTTGACAACAAGAATGTGGACAACACAATGTCGTTGTAAATGGTGTAGACAAACCACGATATGTTACTGTTCTAAGTATGGAGTTCGACTGCATTTCGATCGCGGGTCGAATGTCACGGTGTATACGAGAAACGAACGGTAGCTGTCGAAAACACTAAGAAACATTTCTGGACACTCCTTGACGACTATTACATATTTTTTCTTCTCCATTACTGCTTGTTCATGTTTGCATTGCTCCACAAACACTTTGAAGACAACATAATTCGTTATAATTATCATATTGTATCTTCCCTTCATAAAAACCAGGGTCATTTTGGTACGCGATCCGGCCAACGTTCCCTTTTGGGAACATATAAATATTTCCATAACGCATGGACATATTCAGTTCAAACTTATAAACATGCTCAATTGGTCCAATACAAGCCAAAACAAAAGAAAAAAACTGCAAGAACTCGCTGAATTCTTGTGACGGCCAAATTAAGGTTCATTAAATCAACCAAAACCTTGTGGAAGATGCTCTGTCACCATAGGCTATTGAGCACGATGCTGAGACAAGACATTACGAGGGTGACATGGATTCTATCCATCCATGTGTTTAAGAAAAGTTTGAACAATTTAGTCCCGTGATCCAACTTTCGAGCGCCATATCTTTATCTTCGTTTCTCCTATCGCAAAAGCGATTACACCATTGGAAAGCTTGGAGCGTCCTCTTCGATCTACATATCTCGATTTTCCCAACAGGACTCACAACAATGGACGTACGACAGTTTTATGGTACGCAAAAAATATCAGTCCATATGGACTGATGCAAGGGAAAGGGTTTTTATAAGAACACTAGATACTTTCAGGAGTATAAGCTGAAATTGAAACACTCGTGATTCGCCAGACAATAGTCAGTGCAGCCTATACTAAATACTACATACATCTTCACAACTCTCTCAAAACGGTCTCTGGGCCACACCAATCACTAAAAGAAAATAAGAGTTGTTAAAAATCTCTATACCTTCGCATGCAAAGACGCAAATGCACACAATCAAGTAGACACTTCCTTCTATCAAACGTTTTCTTTTCCTTCTCTTCAGGATAGTACAGCAAGAGAAGGAATCCTGGAGCATATCCCGAAGGGAAGGGAAAGAAAACGTTTGATAGACGGACGTAGATTGCGAAACTATTTTCACTACCTCCAAACTACCGCTTGAGATACTAAATCATTTGCATTTTTGGGCAAGGCCCGTCTTGAGGAATGAGCTGATACTACGATGGCAAAAAAATAACGGTGAGATAAAAGGTAGATGTAAAAAAGAGAAGAAACACATGAGAACGAGTTATGCAGCAACTATCCACGACTGTTTACATTTTAGTACTGGCTCAGGAAATCTGGGTGCGAGGTGTGACTTTCACTCTGGTGTGGTTTATACCGTATTTTCGCAGATGAGACTGATAGGTTGTTCTCAGTTAAAAGTGGCAGCCACACTTGTGGCACTCAGCCTTTCAGGTTTGAGCCGTGTCGTTACAATATATCCACAAGCAGGATGTCACACTCCATTGTACGTCGCATCCAATCCTTTGCCGCATGAGAAGTTAAGTGTCAAAATTTGCTAACACTTGTACAGTAAAACCTGTAACTAAAGACCACCGTGACTAGCGACCAGCCTGGTACTACAGTAAAACCTGTAACTAAAGACCACCTTGACTAGCGACCAGCCTGGTACTACAGCACAACCTGTAACTAAAGACCACCGTGACTAGCGACCAGCCTGGTACTACAGTAAAACCTGTAACTAAAGACCACCGTGACTAGCGACCAGCCTGGTACTACAGTAAAACCTGCAACTAAAGACCACCGTGACTAGCGACCAGCCTGGTACTACAGTAAAACCTGTAACTAAAGACCACCGTGACTAGCGACCAGCCTGGTACTACAGTAAAACCTGTAACTAAAGACCACCGTGACTAGCGACCAGCCTGGTACTACAGTAAAACCTGTAACTAAAGACCACCGTGACTAGCGACCAGCCTGGTACTACCGGCCACTTTGCCAGGCAAGGACGGTCTCACATTCATGTATGGTTGTGTGGTGCAAACCTCTAACTAAAGACCACCTGCCACTAAAGACCGCTTCCTCTGACCCCAAGGGGTGGCCATTAGTCACCAGTTTTACTGTACACGAGTGCGAGGCGGCTTGCACTCCGGACTATTTGCTGCTTACCAATAGACGTGGTGATGGCAGCCAGATCCTTCTTGGTTGAAAATGTGCTCTTGGCCAGGTTCAAGTTTCCGTTAGACAGAACGTAATCAGCGATGCAGGATTCATCGCCCTCGCATTCAGGGACGGTGCGAGATGTGTCCACACTTCCTATCATTGGGGGATTGGTAGGGTTGAATGTTGCATAGCTTTGATCAGAAGTGTATGAGAATGGACTTGTGCTCTTCTTTACCTGAACTGTGTTGCAAAGTATAAACATACAAATCGGGCAAAGACGGCGCACATGCACACACGCACATACACACATATACACACGTGCACACACATACACACACATACATACATACATACATACACACACATACATACATACACAGACATACACACACATGCACACATACACAGACATACACACACACACATACACATACGCACACGCACACCAAAATCCAGACATATGCACAAAGGTGGAATCCCTATGATGTTGAGAATGGCCGAATAGTACCTCCCTCTGGCATAGGTCCTCATCTTCCTATTTCTCTCTGAGTGTTAATACTGTTCGAACTTGGCTTGTAATTACCGGTACATATACTTCCTATTGACTGTTTTCTCATTTTCTAAAGTACAGCTTTAGTCCGCCACACTTTTTATTCTATCGCCATCATAATATTGGGCATCAATGCCCATTTGGTTTGCGATGTAAAATAAAAACTCTAACACACCTACAAACAAGAACTTGAGAACATGATAGTCCATTGGCCCTTAACCATACAAACTCAAAAGTATACAGAGAATTGCACCCTCTAAATTTTCAAGTACCCGGATGGCAACCTATGGAATATATTTAAAATGGAAACATGGAAAAAACGGCGGGGCACAAGCTATGCCTTAGAGCTCACCAACTAAATCAGATTTTGAACAGTAGGCTGTAGTTTGGGGACTCTAAACGCATAGCTTGTGCCCCGCCGTTTTTTCCACGTTCCCATCCAATGTTTTGACTGAGTACCTCGACAATAATCTACCACCATCCAACGCACAACACCGTGATAACCAGTGGGCCTTGTCTTCGCTACACAAGCCATTGTTTAAGCATGGTGTAGTCAATGATTCTTGCGTGCTACAGGCTACTGCTGGTAAGTGAATATTACATGACCACAGTGGAGTTTCAAAAGTAAGTATTCCCCCCCCCCCCCCCCCCGCCGCCCCGTATCCAGAACGAGTGAATGCGTGTACTGACCCCATGTACGTGCAAGCTTAGCTGACACTGCCGAGGAAGTGCCGATAATAAAATATTTTTAATGTTAAAATATTAGTGAGTTCTCCAAACTGGCAAAATTCCTACATTGTTTCGCTTGCTGCCTGATCAGTGTCTGGTTGGTCAATATGTCCTTGTTGCCACGGTCAATGTCAAGGAGACCAACCGCATGCTGATGCTCCGGCACTGCCGGCACTGCAGGTCATAGAACAACAAGAAACAGTGAAACACACTTTAACAACCGGCGAGGAGACGACAATTTGAAAACCGCAAATCAATAAGATGAGCTGAATCGATACGTGTATACCGTATTTTTGTTGTGAAGTGTCAAACGATGGAAAACAATGTGCAGTAAATAAAACGATGGAAGAAGAAAGGAATAGTGAAGAAAAACTCGGATGTTGAGCCAATAGTAATATTTTAAGAGAAAATGATCTTTAAGTTACTAGTTATGCCTAGCAGTCACCAAGGTAACGAGATAATATCGAATCAGATAGTGCGACAACCTTTTTCGAGCATTATCCGCCAATGCGTACCGCTCACCGCACGTTATAGAGAGTACGGGCAAGCTATCATCATCCTATATTGCACACTCTGGTAGTTTTCTTGTTGTTGTTGTGCTGTCACTTGCCTTGTCACAAGTGTAGTGTGTTGTGTTAGCCCTTTCCTGAACTGATAGCCTAAAGTTGGATCACCTGCAGTTACAGGACTACCTCCCTTCCAAAGAGGATATACAGTCAACTTCGCTAATAACGACTGCGGATATAACGACAATTCGCGAATAACGACAGAATTTTCCATGCTCAGAGCAAAGTTCCATCCGACTGTAAGACATACAATGAGACTTCGGGTATAACGACACTTCGCGAATAAGGACACTTTTCTGATGCCCCGCCGCCGAGTGTCGTTATAATATTATGCAAAGTTGACTGTACCCCTCTTCCTGTCAACCAGTTTTAAACTAGTCTCTTACTCTGCATTGCTACGGCTAGTATGGGATCACTCTGGACGGAGACGTTGGCAGCGAAGTTTCCAACGCGAGCAATAATGCTGTTGGTGCTTGGGTGATGTGTAAAGTGTCCTCCGCCATACTGCCCGGCCATGTGTATGGTCCCATGCTTCGAGAAGACTTGAACAGTCTTGCTGGACAGGCCTTGCGCTAAACAACATGCAGCAAGGAAGACACACCATAACACCATCACAGCATAACACCATCACACCATACTCACTCGATTAGAAGTGGGCGGCTTCCTTTTTCAATGCCAATTTCGAGGAGGCTTCTATTCAAGAGGGGCTTCTATTCAAGAGGGGCTTCTATTCGAGAGGGGCTTCTATTCGAGAGGGGCTTCTATTCGAGAGGGGCTTCTATTCGAGAGGGGCTTCTATTCGAGAGGGGCTTCTATTCGAGAGGGGCTTCTATTCGAGAGGGGCTTCTAATCGAGAGGAGCTTCTATTCGAGGAGGGGCTTCTATTTTCTCAATCCATACCAGTATTCCAATCGAATATCTAAAACTTTCATATGCACAGCAACTCGGCCCCGATCGAGTTAGTTTACACAGACTGCGTTGACCAGGACATGTAGTACTATGTGAATGCATATGTTTCGTGCGCACCCAACCTTAAATGGCACTACCTGGTCACCCCATGCTTCGCGAATAGTAGCCCGGGCTTCCATTCGACACGGGCTTGTATTGTATTTATTCAAACAGTCCTTGTAGGGGGTATTATTTAAGAGCGTCTCTTTTTCGAGAGGGTTTCTATTCGAGTGAGTATGCTAACGGCATAATAGCATAACTGGTTGGTACACTCAGCACAATCACTGAGGAACAAAACATGCTATAAAGCTAGTTTGTTCCAAGCTGAGTTTCAAATAGAAAAGTGAAAAGTGATCAAAGAACAACACAGTCAAGACGTGCGTCTGGTACAGTGATTTTCCACATAGTCGACGACAAGAATTTCGCGCTGTTCGGAATTCCACCCCCCACCCCCCCCCCCCCCCCCAACACACCCTCAGACCTCAGACCTGCCCATCGCGAAAGCAATGATAGCGAACAGCTATGTTAGACATAGCAACTTGTGCTGGGATTACACCATTCAACAGCTTGCAAGGCTGATGAATTGACCGCCACTAATTCTAGCCTGGTATCCACCACATAGCTGATTGAAGTGACTTTTTCTGGCCAGTGAATCCAACACACCCACACTCATACACACATAATTAAACACTATCACTCCCCCCCCCCACACCCACCCACCCACCCACCCACCCACGCACCCACGCACCCACCCACCCACGCACACATCAACTTACTTATTCTGATGGCGACGCGTGTGATTGATGTGAAGTTGGCGGCATTGCCGACTGGGAACACCTGCATCCGAGCAGTGACCTGCATGCTATAACCACTGGCTCCACTCATGTGCCCTAGAACAAACTCTCCCACAACGTGAAAGTCAAACCTGCGTCCGCTGAGAGTAACAAGATGAGGATCTCCACAGACATAACCTGGATAGGAGATACCAAACCGACAAGAGGTTGCTCGGTTTGCTGTTTGATTTTATTTTAATTCGCAGCGACCAAACGAGCTGAGGTAGTCACTAACAATGAAGCGAATGAAAGTGCCAAGAAGAACGAGGGGACTTGAAAAAGCAGAACATATTGGACGATGGAGAAGGCATAGGTTGAGTGTTATAGAGTGACCACTGTACCAGACAACCACCGTTACTACATCTCTTATTGGCCACTGGCTATCGTGAGAATAAAGATTTGAAACTGACAAGTAAAACACCTGTCTAACCACCTTTCAAAGCACATTTCATAACAATACTTACTTTGCAGAACCCGAACACGCTTGCCAACAGCATTCGCAGAGTTTCGGTTCAGAAAGAAATGAGACAATATACCGCCAGTGTGGCAGGATTCACGCAATGCCTCGTCCCCGGCTGAGAGCGACTGGTAGGGTCGATGGAGACCATAATCAATCAGTTCTCCACCATGTTTATGATAGCAACAGTGCTGTTGGAATAAGGAAAAACAGATTTTAAAAGCATTTGGAGCATAGCAGGAGCATAGCAGACTCTGGCATACAGAGGGCAAACTTCACAATGTTCACAGATACACAAATACATGTATACATATGCATGCATACACATATATTATATACATATGCATGCATGTTATATACATATGCATGCATGCATGCATACACATAATATATGCATGCATGCATACACATAATATACATATGCATGCATGCATGCATACACATATGCAGCCGTGCACGCATTTAAAGTATGCTTGCATATGAATTATGAAGTAAACTCGGAGTTAGTTTTTTATTGCTCATGACCTTGGTACAGAGCCTAGTACACACACTTGAGAGGCATCAAACGCCTTTCTGCTGTAACTGTTGTTGTCTGATGATCGATTAAAACCGAGAAACTGAGAGTTACAGCAGAAATGAATTTGATTCCTCTCAAGCGTGTGAATCATAAAGTAAATGTGCACACATAACCCCCCCCCCCCCCCCCAACCCACACTCACACAATGTGTCCACATAAAACATACACACACACACACGCACGCACACACACGCAAACACACTCTTAATATCAATGCAATCTCTATTATTCTCTATCCAATGCTGGGAATTTGGAAAGGACTTTTGTGCATCAATGAACAATGTGGCTTATATGTGCTATTCTGTTCTTGTCGGTATACGGCTTGTATCTCTTTGTCTGTTATATTTGGTCCTCCTGTCTACATGCAGGTTTGTCGAGCCAAAGGTTCGATGGACTTCTCATGTGCTCTGGATGGCAGTCGTGAGTCAGTGAAGTGAGAATTCAAGTCAACAGGAAAAGCGCGAGCTCCCACTTAGGGAGCAACGCACAATTCCTCCTATTTACTGCTGAATTATATAAATCCCCTCGCAGGACAGCCAGCCAGCCAGTCAGTCAGTCAGTCTGCCACTCTGTATGTATACCTATGCCCCTCTCTCTCACTCACTCACTCTCTCTCTCTCTCTCTCTCCCGCCCTCTCTCTCTCTCCCCCCCCCGCTCTCTCTCTCTTTCTCTGTCTCTCTCTCTCACGCTCTGTATCTCTCTCTCTCTCTCTCTCTCTCTCTCTCTCTCTCTCTCTCTCTCTCTCTCTCTCTCTCTCTCTCTCTCTCTCCCCTCTCTCTCTTTCTCTGTCTCTCTCACGCTCTGTATCTCTCTCTCTCTCTCTCTCTCTCTCTCTCTCTCTCTCTCTCTCTCTCTCTCTCTCTCTCTCTCTCTCTCTCTCTCTCTCTCTCTCTCTCTCTCTCTCTCTCTCTCTCTCTCTCTCTCTCTCTCTCTCTCTGTCTCTCTCTCTCTGTCTCTCTGTCTCTCTCTGTCTCTCTCTGTCTCCCTCTGTCTCTCTCTGTCTCTGTCTCTCTCTGTCTGTCTGTCTGTCTGTCTGTCTGTCTGTCTGTCTGTCTGTCTGTCTGTCTGTCTGTCTGTCTGTCTATCTCCCTGTCTCCCTGTCTCCCTGTCTCTCTGTCTCTCTGTCTCTCTGTCTGTCTGTCTGTCTGTCTGTCTGTCTGTCTGTCTGTCTGTCTGTCTGTCTCTCTCTCCCCCTCTGTCTCTCTCTGTCTCTCTCTCTCCTCTTCTCCCCTCCCCTTTCTCTCTCGTCAACTTACGGAAGCTATTAGAGTACTCGGACCCAGTTGTATGGGACTGGAGTCAAAGCAGTCACGAAAGAGGAAATTGGCAGTAACGTTACGTCTCGCAAACACGGCGCTAGCTTGAACTATATCTCTTTGGGCCGGGCACTGAGTCAGGTCCTGGGATGCTTGCGATATTGTTGATGCATTTATCACCGAGTCGCGGCAGTGCTTCCTGGCACGCAGCCTAGCGCTGCAGCCATTGGTTAGGTTGTACACCCCGCTGACTGGCCTGACGTGGGCAGTTCCAGAGGTAGCCAGGACTCTCCCAGCCGCCATTACTGGATACGGAAAGCCTTGCCAGCTGATTCCGTGTTTTGGATAGTTGAACACAGCAAAAGACTGGCACTCATCACTGATTATTGCAGCCTGGAACGTGTTACGCTGCAAAGAACAGGACAACAAACGGAGAGGACAGCGAAGGCAAATGACCAGTAAGAAGAGAATGTTTTGATGGATGTGTTACGGAAAGGAGCAATTTTACTTTCAAAATAATTGAACACTGTAGATGGTGAATTATATTGTGTCATCACAAACAAGATGTTTACTTCTACAGGGGTTTTTAAAGGGGAAGTATACCTTAAAATAAAATGTTCACCAGTTGTAGTCTTCGGGGTGCTTTCCTATAATTATTTTTTGGCCAGTTTGGCACCAGCAATACAAATGCTCTATCAATACTCTTCTACTCTTTTCTCATCATGATGACTCAGCGCTCGCTAACCTTGTTGTGTTGATTGTTCTCACGGATCTCTCTCCAGGTTGTGAAGACGGCTTCGCGCGGGCGAAAGTCATCGCGCGGCCTATACTGATTTAGCACGGCTTGTTTGATAGCTGTGAACGTGGCGTTGTCCACAGTCTCATTGACGTGATGTGTTTCCATGGTGCCATTCGAACAGGCCTGGTTTCCAGCGCGTGATGTCCAGTAAGGTGCGATGATGGCATTGCTTTCTTTCACACGTGAGTTGAGGTTGTAGATGCCGGAGAAGCCGTTCAGTGACATCAGACCCTCAAACGACACCTGTGACGCAAGCAAACCATCAGCAAAGTGAGTAACATTGAGAAGACTGTTTGAAAATGCAGCCCACCACTTCACAACTACTCCAAGCAACAAGGCAAGAGAGATATGCCAACCAAGTTAAACTTACTGAGACTTGACGGTGCTCGGTGAACTTTGACGCATAGACAAATGGATAGTCCAGATTGACAACATTGCTCCTGACCAAGGACGAGTTGCTTGCTGTGAAGAGTTCACTGCTCAGTTCTGCACATGTACAAAGACAACACAATTGCGGCGGCACAGTCAGACCTCGCTTCTCCGGACCTCTTTTATCCGGATCCCTCGCCATCCGGAAGAACATCGTTGGTTACCGATTTACAGCACATGTCATGCATACATACAGCATGTGTGTTCGATTATCCGGTTCCCTCGCCTATTCGGATATTTTTGTGGAAAACGGATGTGTGCGGTTAAGCGAGGTCTGACTGTACAGTGGGTACTCTCACTATGACTACTACATTCTTACTTTACACCTATTCAACTCCCAAGCTATTTTCCCTTTGCTGTGACTGAACAATTGACCGTAATACTGCACTATCCCATTATGACCATGCTTAAAGACGCAGCGTCTTTTCAGAAGTATTTAGATCTTCTTTTCAGCAAACGGCCTCATTCATCTGCATCGCTTGTATTGTATACCTGTGTTTACTGCTTACTGCTTACTGCTGCTTTATTGTTCCAAGTATCAGTTTAGTTTAGTTTAAATATCTCCTATTATTATTATTTTATTTTTTTTCCTCACCCCACACCCCTCTACCCTGTTATCGGCCCTCTTAAGAGTTGTGTTCATCACTGTTGAGGCTTCCGATGGAAAATAAAAGAATACTACTACTACTACTACTAATATTCCTGAATATGTTCAGGTCTGGGGCATCATTTATTTATTCCCATAGCTATGCAAAAGACGTTACTTCAGTAACATCTGGCACTAGCCAGGGTCCACGCAGTGTTTGTTTGTTTGTTTGTTTGTGCCGTCGGCATGCCTGGCGCTATCCCGTACCTGTCCTGTACCGTACTGTACCATCAAAGACAGCTGGCCACAATATTCAAATAGGGCTTTCAAATCATAACATGAAGCAACTTGGAAGAGTGAGTATGAATGCGAAGCGTGTCGGGGGAATGCATGCAGGGCGATAGTGCGGGTTGAATCCCAGGTTATGTCTTGAAAAAAAGAGAAATGAAACATTTATAACATCCCTATGCGTTTTTTTGCCTAGGTCATCAAAGTGGTAGACGGTGTCGTATAACACTCGAATGCAAAGAGAAACTTTGTTTCCTTCGCTCAGGGCCCTACTCTATGCTTTTTTGCCTCGCTCATCATGCTTGTTATTCGAACAGACGGAAACATGCACGATGAGCTAGGCAAGAAAGCATAGCGTAGGGCCCTGAGTAGTGGAGTAGTAGTAGCAGTAGATTTTATTATTTTACTAGGGGAGTCCCAACAGGCGTTGCCTTTTTACTGGCAACCCTAGGTGAATTTTTACCATGTTTACATACAGAGTAAGAGACAGGGCCTGACGGCAGTCAGTGAGAATTTCCAAGCTCTTTGGGTAATTTTATTTTTTATTCTTATTTTACTAGGGAATTCCCTACAGGCGTCATCGCCTTCTTACAGGGAACCCTAAGAAAGTCTTGATGGATGATCGAAATTCAGCAGGTGAATTAGAAAAGCGGTAAGCAGGTGGCAGTGCATTCCACCTCTCAGCACCTACGTAAGAAATTGCACTGAAACCACAGCGTGTGCTAGCAGGGGGTAAAACAAGCGCGGCAGACACTCATCAATGCGATCATCCCATCCCGTTGTAAGTTCATGAATCTGTACATAGAAAGATCCCACGCTAGGGTTACTGTTAACCCATTGAGGGCTAGAGGGCCTTTCATCTGAGGCTCTGAAGAAAATGCTAAAAATAGGGCCAATATACAGCTCCACAACTTCATAGTCTAGGCAACTAGGTTGTTGAACTCTTGTGAAATGTTGACCAAGGCTATGATCATCACGCTGACCAACTCGATATAGTTCCTAGAAAGGGGAACAAAATGCTATATGACACGTAAGTTCATCTAAATTGCGTAAAATACGAAAAAGTCGCCAATTTGAGTTGAATCACCGGACGAAAAAGAAGAAAAAAAAGTATTCAAGCGAGATTCGTACCCGCAACCTCTCGTACTGAATGCAGGAAATGTACCGCTCGACTCTGGGGTCTCTTTCAACCCTACGCTGGAACACGGAGCTTAGTACGGTAGGATAGCCTGTCAGCCCGAGTATATTCGGGCTCAGCGCCCTGACGTCATTCTGAATCCCGAATATGTTCGGGCTCAGCAGTCAATGGGTTAAAGCAGAAATGTTCGGCGGTGTAATATTTTCGGTATTCTCCAAAATCGGCGGTTCGGTGGAGGAAAATTTTCGGTAAAACCCGTGTTACAGGTAAGTCTGCTTATTATGTATAGTTGTACCGGTAGTACCGACATTTTCCGTGCGTTTTTTCTGTAAAAAATGTTGGCACCGAAGTTACCGAAAATAAAACACCACCGGAAATTTCTGCTTCTACTGTAAAATGAATGGCTGGAACGAAGGTGTCATGCCAGTATTAGTCCTGTAAGAGGGCTAATTGTATCGATGGTGAACATTTGGCGATTTTG